GCGACTCCAATTTAAAACAATGACTATAGACCTATCATTTACTATAAAATCTTGCTGCCTATCCCCGTTTACCGTTGATATCACATCAAATCTTTTCGTTAATCGTTTGAAATGTTCTTATATATTATTATAAAAGGTTTATGCTCCAAAAGGCATGGCGATATACTCGCATTTCTTGACTATGGTCAATTTGAGCATTGTACAGGCGACTCTTTGTTCCTCGTGGGGGGACTAGCTAACAGTCGTGGGTAGAATGTCGTGGGTCGTGGGTAGAATGTCGTGGGTCGTGGGTGGAATGTCGTGGGTAAAAAGGCGTGGGTCGTGGGTAAAAAGGCGTGGGTCGTGGGTAAAAAGGCGTGGGTCGTGGGTAAAAAGGCGTGGGTCCCAAATAAAAAGTCGTGGGTCCTGAGAAAATGCCGTGGGTTCCAAGCAAAATATTTCTATATATTTACCTTTCTCCCTTTAGAATGCGTGTTTTTTTCTTCTGAGACTTTCCCAAATATACACAGTCTTAGAGCGCGTTATTAAGGCCGGGTTTTTGATATCGGCAGATCGGTTTATAAATATTATAACCAAGGGTGGATGAAACAGTTCAACTTCACGCCCCATATAGCTCAAATATTTGGAAGTTATATGTTATAGAAAGCGAACTATTGTAATTCTTCAATAGGAAATAGTGCTACCATAAATAGCTAAATTGTGACATTCAGGGCTTCACTGTAATTTGTTGATCGTCATGATCGATGTTCTTACAGTAATAAGCGAGAAATTTCACTTGGACAGTTAATGTAATGCAATGTCTGTTTTACTAGGGAAAAATAAAAAAATGCATTTGAGAGATTTCACTTAAATACATATTTAGTATCTACTAGCAGTAGTCAGTGAATCTAGACATCTAGTGTCAAATTTATTATGTGGTTTGTATTTTCTAATGTCAAACATAAGTTACAAATATACAGTCACATACAGTATTGTAACATTCATGCTTTGACTTACTTTCAGTAGGCTTTTGTCGGATTATTTTACCGTAGGTTTGATAACAGATAACAGAGAGGTATACTTCTACATATTTCTTGAGCATCAAGTTTCAGCGAAGTCAATGGCATGTTGGAATTTGGAAATTTCCACAGCGCTCATTTAATAACAGTCCGAGTAGCATTGTTTACATGCAAGGTTTGTTCCGTTTGTAGTTTGCCATATTTCAGAAACCAAAAGATCTCTCAATTTCGTTACAATTCCACATCTCAGTATTAAATAAATTCTTTAGGATAGACTTTAGCAGTTTTAAATAACAGCAACATCGGTTGCATTGGTCTAGAGATATATTTTCTTGTAATGTTTACGACGACGTCGGTAATATCGACAACAAAATTACCGATATGGATATCGATGCATCACTATTTTGCAGACCGGCGATCTTCTTTGTAACCTACAGTTATATTAAATTACCGTATTACCGGTTATAAAAAATTGACTATATCTAGTGGATAGCATTATTCAGCTTTCGTACATGTGGCCCTTGGCTATTGAAGAATCACAGTAAATTCTAAAGGGAGAAATGTAAATATATAGAAATATTTTGCTTGGAACTCACGGCATTTTCTCAGGACCCACGACTTTTTATTTGGGACCAACGCCTTTTTATTTGGGACCCACGCCTTTTTTATTTGGGACCCACGCCTTTTTACCCACGACCCACGCCTTTTTACCCACGACCCACGCCTTTTTACCCACGACCCACGCCTTTTTACCCACGACCCACGCCTTTTTACCCACGACCCACGACATTTTACCCACAACCCACGACATTCTACCCACGACCCACGACTGTTAGCTAGTCCCCTCGTGGGGGGTCGCCACAACCTCGTTCCCAGGGCTTCAGTGTAAGGACGAGGCGAGACACGAGGAAGCCCTGGTCTGGGCCGGTCAATTCTGCATTCTGATTGGCTAACACCATATTGTCTAAAAATAACTGAACTTGACAGTTGACAATAACAATTCAACATTTGTATTTTTATGATTCTTGTGTGTACGAGTATGTTTTGCAAAATAATCTTTCAAAGTAAGACGTTTTCTTTCCGATCAGTGCGTTTTCCCGACTGCATGATTTACTTTCGCCTTGGCCGGTTACAAAACTGAAAAGCCGTGTCGAAGTGAGCTGTGATGTTTCCTGACAAAACAAGAAACGTCTACTATTATTTAAGCTGTAGTTTTCCTTGTACAGTATTTATTAGTGCAGATGTCTGATGAAATACTACGCGTATTAACCAGTATTACGCGTATTGCATTGTAGTAATATTTTGATTTACAATATTCTGTACTGACAAATAAAAGCAAGACAAACAATTAAATGAAGCTACTAAATTAATTTAGGCCCTGTTTACTTAATAGCTCTACGCCTAGGCCGATGTAGTCTCTACAAGATTCGCACGCCACCCAGTTTTTCAGTTTCAGAATACCCCGAATACTTGAAAATTGCGACTATACGATAAAATAAAACAAAGATTGTGAAGGGGATAAAATTTGTAGGCAAGCATTGCTCCTGAACGGCAAGTGTTGGTGTCGGGCGAAACAAGCGAATCCGTATATTCCTGTACAGCGTAAACAGGTTACGCGAGGTTTTATATTTGTGTTTATTTATATTGAACTAAGTCAGATCTATACGAGCATATTTAAACTAAATATTAATTATAGCAATAGCCATATTGTTGAAGACGAGAGAAAGGAAATTTCGTGTGAATCACCACTTGCATGGAGACGTCTAGATGCAGCTTGGATGCAGCTTTGCCTGTAGTTGAAAATCTCCAGAAATATCTGTATATCTTAGAAAACATAGACGGGATCTTCATAGATTTTAGCTGATTCGTGCCAAACTTCGCTCTACACATAAATAATATCGATTGAGAAGTCTTTTGGCTATCATTAATTTGCACCAAATTACTTTCCATTTCATCAATATATAATATATTACTATAAAATGTATGTTTTCGATTGTATTCAGCGATTAGTTTTTGGAACAAGATCCAACTTTTCCCCTCACTTTCTTAATTCTCAAATTGTTTATTAGATGTTTACTGGTTGGGGTTAGAGAAGTGCTTGGGGTTGGGATCAGTTTATCTTATAAATGGAAGCAAATTGGCATATTTTTTAGAAGAATCGTCTATGTCTATGAACTCTTTAGCACCTGAAACGAGCCATATAATTTAATGGCATTAAAAATCAAGGACTATATAATTTCTTCGCTATTATTGACCCATCATTATTTACGGTTGATAGTTGATGATCAGTTACAGTGGTCCTGGCTTGTCAGGTTGAGTTGCCCATAGCTGGAGGGTGTGCCTGAGCCGGCGTCTTGGTATATTATGGTTGATAGTTGCTGATCATGGATGTATTTATTGGTTGTATTTATATGGTCCAGACCTCCTGTATCCCTATCTACTTCTCTACTACACATTACACCCTACCACGAAAGTTGCCATTTTCAGGCCAGTGTTAACGCCTGAGCAGGCGTCTTGTTCTTTTTTATATTTACATTTATTCTTCCACGCAAAGACACAAATATTACACAATTGTGATTTGGTGTTAGTGAGTTAGCCAATATATAAACATGCTAGCCTGCGAACAGGCTCTCAAGCTGAATTGAGAGCCTGCATCGATGACTAATGAATTTGAATATCTGCGTCTCAAATCGTGACGCGAAATTCTCATTGGTCAGATGCTATAATTTATATGTTTCCGCTGAGCTCTATATATGTCAACTGCTGAAGCTCTATGCAGTAAAAAACACATTAACTGATCAAATTGGTCTTGGCCATCTTATCTCAAAGCACGAAATGTTCTGTTTTGAGAAAACAGTATTTAAAACATTTGAACTTTTGCTTGAATATCTTATATTTCGAAAAACAGTATAAACTGTACGGTCTAAATTTAGTTTGCACGGGCTAAATTTAGTTTGCACGAAAGTTGTAAACAACACCATATAAGGATAGACATTCCATATTTGGAAAAACGAACGTTACGGGGCAGATATTCAAATTCATTAGTCATCGATGCAGGCTCTCAATTCAGCTTGAGAGCCTGTTCGCAGGCTATAAACATGCCAAACCGCAAAAGTGCTGTGCACCTTATGCTGCATGGTATATTGTGTGATTGCAAATATTAATAAATTGCTTGCCAACCAGTGCATCATGGTTTGCTTTTCTAACTTTTTGCCAGATTGATTTGAGGAAAAAATGTTTTACGATTTAAGGTGGCTCTATACATTTTTCAACGTCGTATATATTTACGTTTTATGCAGCAATAAGATATAGAAGAAATTATTACAGGTAAACTACGTGAAGCGTTCCTCTTTTAAGTTCCTAACTTGATTGCAATTTTCCTCATTACCTTAGCAAATTTGAAAAACTCCCTTGCAAATCCCTTGAGGGAATTTGCAATGTTCAAGAGCCAAATAAATTTTCCTCAGTTCCTGTTGGAAGTTCTTAACTTCCTGTTACAAGTTCCTAACTTCCTGTTCTGTTCTTCGCATTCTAATTGGCTAACAAAAATAATCCGCCAATGATAACGCTCAGAAGAGAACAGGAAGTCAGGAAATTAAAACAGGAAGTTAGGAAAATTTGAAAGGAACTTTATTTGCGTTGGAATATTGCAACGGCCGACAGGAAAATTGCAAATTCCCTCAAGGATTTGCAAAGCGTTTTTCAAATTTGCAAAGCAGATTATGAAAATTCCAAATGAGTTAGGAACTCAAAAGAGGAACGCTTCACGTAGTTTACCTGTAATAATTGTTTGGTTTTGTTCAAGACACTATACACGATCATTTGTTTGATAAAGTTCTCGTTATTATCTGTCTCGTTATTATCTGGAGAATATCGAATACTTTGCAAATAAATATACGTGGTGTTTTATACAAAACAGAACAATTATACTTATTTTCGGCATACAAGCTGACAATATAAAGAACTTAGATGTAGTATACATGCATTTAATATACACTTTACCTTCTCAGCATACTCAGAAGCCATTTGTGAAATTTCTTCTGATTGCAAGCCAACAATTGATCCAACCAAACTGGATGAGAGTGAACCCTAAATCAAAAGTTAATTATTCGTTTTTCCAAGATATACACTGTATCCCGTTATATCAAACTACTGTAAATTTGAGGAAGAACACATGTTTAATGGTTCAGTGGGCAAAAGAAATAGACTCCAGAAGAGCCTTTTAACAGCAAATGTTAATATAACAAATATTTTAGTGATTAATAATTTCTTAATATTTTTTGTAATTTTGGGTAATACTAACGTATAGTATAATTGTTATTCCATAAGTTAAAATTGTCATGTAGTTCGAATATGATTCAGCAGACTTGTATGGGGCTGCACATTTTTGAGCATAATAAAACTTCTACAGTATCTGTCTAATTATCTATCTACCAAGTATATAGATTCACAACTACAATGAAAAGGAGCAATGTGGCCAATTTTGGGGGTTACGTAAAATATGAAGGTTTCGACAGACATGCAGAATTGTTAATAAAAAGTTCAGAAAATAAAAATTGGAGATGTCCTTGAGCACTTTGTTAGGGTAGTTGCTACAACACACTATAAACACGAACTGCGTACTCAGATCTCAGATTTAAAAGCGAGATCTGTTACTATAGGGGATGGGCATTTTTGTTACAAAGGATCATGATTTGGAGGTATAATTGCAACAATGTGATCAGATGATCAATGGTAATTAGTAAAAAAAATATACCCATATCTATAACTCAGCGCACTCCTATATATAATATTTTCGAAATCTGAAACAGGAGCTACAGTATACCCTGTGTGTATACTAACCTCCTTGCCCTGCATTGCCGCCATGTTGCTCATCAAGGAGTTGATACGTTTCTGAAACACATTAAAAAAATGTTACAATTCGTTGATGCAAAACACTTTATACATTTAAGGGTAATTTCCACACACAGAAGCGTCATCAAACGTTCACTCAAAAACATCTGGGGCCGGTTGTACGAAAGCCGGTTATAATATAGCATTTGTAACTTCTGAACGCTGATTGGCTAAGAGCCGTGTTGACATAACTCAATGTCAACACAGAAAATTCTTTCCTTATATTTCTTTGTGCTATATTACAAAAAAACCTATAAAACATTTTCCGTATTGATATACAGTTATATCAACACTCGTGGAAATTGGGAAAACTCGAAATAGACCTTATGTATAATGACGTCACAAGGCTTGATGCCCGCGAGGAATGCTGGTCTTAGTAGTCATTGCCCGAGAAAATAAGAGCTAAGACCAGCATTCCTCCTGGGCATCACGCCTTGTGACGTCATTATGCATAAGGTCTATTGCATGAAAACAAATCATTTCCCCAATTTCCACTTGTGTTGATATAACTGTATACCAACACGAAAAATGTTTTATATTTGTTAAGTAACGCTATCCACCGGCAGTGACTTTGACTGTATATGGTATAACACAGATTATACTTTAATTAGTACATAAAAAATCAAGTTGTCTTTTACTAATTGTGGGATCCATATTCGTAGTTTTATCACTTTTCCAGAACTTTTACAATGGTTGAAAAAATGATCCGGTGGATAGCGCTATCCGGCCTTTGACTATATAAAGAAACGTCAGTAGTAATTCACATGTATTATCTTCTTGTAACCATACATGAACTGTGCATTGCAGTATTACTCAATCGCCCTCATTAAGGAAAATAAGTTACTGATGAGAATGTGACATGTGGAAATACTAGAGTGTAATGTATGTACCTGCTCAATTATATATTCTTCTTCGACGCTATCTATAGATTCACTCTTGGGACGACCACCCTCGGCGCCAGGAGTTTTCTTGTTGCTTTTCTTTGCATCTTTCTTTAAAGCAATAATTAGTAACTACAGCATGTATAATCTGAAAACGTGCTATTTTCAACTAAGTTATTAATATGCTTCGGATATACCCACCTTTTCTTTTTGCTCTTTACTGTACCCATATTGCCTGAAATTAGAAAGGAAAAGAACATATCACCACCACTTGTCACAATTCATTCTTCTATTTTGTCACAATACACCCCGCCGGAAAATATGTCACTTTTGCTTTATATATAATAGCGTTAAGAATTCAAGCGCTTTCATTGGTCGAGAGCCATGATCTATTAGAAGACAGACATACGGAATTACGTCACACAAAACCTTATCCAATAGCATTCCCTGATTTGTATAGATCATGTACGCGTGATATTTGTAAAATTTCGACTTGGGTGGACAAAAAGTAAGCTACAGTATTTACCTGTTTAATTCGGGGGTTTTCTTTTTAATTTTACAAAACAAATAGATAAGATTTTGCTGTTGTCTGTTCAGCTATAGATACACAGTATAACGTCATAATGTGGGATGACCCACTCGCCGTTTGTTAACTAGAGCCTGGTTTTCGTGTGTGTGACATTAGGGAGCTTAAGCATGTAGGACGGCAACACGACGGCGACGGCAACCAATACAATGAGTCAATGAAAAGAAATAAATACCGTAATTAAAAGTCGCAAGGGGAGTTTCAGACATAGACGTCGGTCTGTTTACAACGGCAAATCACAGATCTTCACGTCTTTTATACAACGCCTGCATTTCAAGCCGTAACAAGTGCAACTTAAAATTCGGTTCAGTAGAACTCTTCCCAAATATAAAGCCAAGTTTTCAACTTCTTATACTGTATTAAATCCATACGAATTACTAGAAATACATGCATGCAACAACCCCTCGCCTATATTTTCCAAACATTGTTTCAACATGAAGTATTCGTAATTACGCCAACACTGAACGCAGGCTCGCATTGCCACGTCATGTTAGTCATGGAAACACGATAATTGTTTTTTAATTTTTTGTACAAACCGGGAAAAAATAGATGAAATTTGAACATTTTAAATACAGAACTATCAATTTCTAAAATATATAAAGTAGGTATAATATTTTGGTTTCTATGGGCTTTATTTTAATGTAAAATTCAAAACAAAACTCTATTTAAAACGCTTTTAAATGTGAATTGAAATTAACTGCTTTTTGCCGATATTTGTAAACTTCTCAACTCGAGCTTCAACTTATTACTCGCACTTTGAAATGAAACAAATTTAATTCGTACAGGACGCTAATGAAAATAATTTGCTTTCCTTTTTATCATGAACTTCTACAAAAGTTAAGAAACTTTCGCAAACAATGCATAGGAAATACTTGAACATCAAGAACAAAGGCCAAAGTCTATATTATTAAATACAAAGTCATACATAAAACAATTGAAACAAACTTGCCCTATACTTTAGGATTTCTCATACAATATCAATTCTTATTAATGTTTACGTTTAAAAATTACAAAAAAGTTGTACAATTTGTTATGTGAAACGATTTTTCAAGCTTTTTTACATGTATTTTTTTATATTATTTGCCTTCTTCACTCCTGGCAAACAGCCATATTTTGAGCTCAGTGATGATCACCCACTCAACACCGTTGGTGACGCCCGCGATCATTGATGAACTTTAGACTCACTGAGCTATACTTATATATCTGGAGATCGTGCTCTCGACGAAAGTGTGTGGCCAAAAACATGGCGGATTTGACGTCACAATCGACCTATTTTCATGGGGGTTTCCACTGACCCGTGGCTCGAATGTTCGTGGGCGACGAAGTTCAACCCCCCCTGGATTTTACAGTGATTTTGTATGTTTATATTAGTTGATCGACAGAGTATATTTTTGATTTTCGTCCTTTTGAAAATGCAGTATTATTCTAACTGCGCGTATAAATCAATAAAGACCGAAAGCCATTAATAAAAAAAGACATGAATGGAGCTTGACGGCCACAAGAACAAAGCATGTAAGTCATTGAAATGATTTATCAATTCTTGTTGTATTGTGAATTTGTGTTGCAACCATTGGTTGCAACTGAACTGACTATCAACATTATTCTTTAAAACACGAGTATTATAACAATCCCCAGCAAGTAAAATTAAGCAAATATAGCTTGTTGAAAACCGTACTGCTATAAATTTCCCTGAGTGACAAAGGTTTTTTTAGAGATTTTAATACCAGTTTATTCTATTAGTAAATTGTGGGGAAAAGCAACTCTTTGGAATATAAAGCACTTATATCACCATTAAAGTTTTTTACACCTGTATGTATTCCGCTTTCAGGTATGAATTTATCAAGAAAATATGGGATATCTGTACTATTAAGTACCAGATGGCAATGAAGAAAGTCAAGTGTATTTCTTTATAATGGTCTTCCTTGTAAAAGGCAATGGCACTATTTCATTGAACATTCAAGGAACAATCACCTTTTAAAACAAATATGCACATTTTTATGCTCGAGTTACAATGTTTGATTTTGATATCTGCATTTTATGCGATTCATACCTTATTTTTAAGTGTTCCTCAAATATTGATTCAATACATTACCTCGGGCTGACCAATTCATTCCATCAAGATATTTGCTGTGTTGGTGTAATACATGTACTCAGGTGAATAAGATGCTTGTGTGATGTTATGTACTCTGAGTGGATATCCACACTGGGCAGGCTTGAAAAATATGCCTGGCCACAGTGGGATTTGAACCCACAACCTTTGGAATACTGGCCCAATGCTCTGCCAACTGAGCTATACAGTCGGGGCAGTTCGAGTATGCGATATTTCGGAACTGAGTCTAGTTCCTTCGATATCAGTGTAATCTAATAACCATGATATTTGTGAATATGATGCTTGTGTGATGTTACTCTGAGTGCATATCCACACCGGGCAAGCTTGAAAAATATGCCAAGCCACATTGGGATTCAAACTGACCTGACCGCGTAGCTCAGTTGACAGAGCATTGCCATTTGGGCTAGTATTCCAAAGGTCGTAGGTTCAAATCCCACTGTGGCCAGGCATATTTTTCAAGCCTGCCCGGTGTGGATATACACTCAGAATAACATCACACAAGCATTTCATCATGTTCCTCCAGATATTCATACACTTCCTGTGAAAGAGCCAATTCCAAGTATTTAATCATTTCTGGTCACTTCCTTTCTATTTATGATTGGTTAGTTGCACAAACAACAAAGGTGATTGGTGCATTCAAACCATTTAACAGGAAGTTTACAATTATACTAGGAAGTGTATGAATATCTTGAGGAACTTAATCAAATGAATTGGTTAGCCCAAGGTAATGTATTGAATCAATATTTGAGGAACACTTCAATTGGAACGACAGTGAAGAATTATTAAAAAAAATATTTTATTCAAAAAAAGATTTTCCAAGATAATTATATAATTACATTTAGTAATAAGAATAAATAATATATTCAATTTCAAATCACAACAAAATTTATTCTTTATTTTAAACACATACAACACCAATTTAATTAAATAAACTGCTCAACCAATTCTATGCATGTCAATCCCTACTTGATGGTCAGCACCTACAGTAATTATGCTAGCCTAATTTGTACACTAACCCAAATGGTCAAAATAAATGTAAATGTAGCAATCTTGGCTTAGCTAAACAGACCAAAATGTGTACAAATAACTTAAAGTTGTTAGCAGAAAAATTAAGGAATAAATTTAATCCATTGAGTGGCGAAGCACCCTATTTTAGTATTTTACTCTGTCTAACGCCAGACAATTTTACTCGTCAAGGGGAGAGCACTGGCGCTTAATGGGTTAATTACCCCTCATGTACAGTATGGCCATTAATTGTACTGATAATAAACTGTAAAGATCACAACCAAGCTGACCAGATTGTTGGTACAGCATATGGCTTTAACACTGGTCTCTGGCTGTAATCCTCCTCAAAGATATCAGCACTAAAATGCTTTGAACACAAACGACTATTTTTCATAAGAACAAACTTCACTCTGTCTGGCATAAGTTTGCTTATATTCTTCACCCATATGCTGTGCAATTCAGGGAATCTCTTCTCATCTGGAAAGCTTTGAAGTAAATGAACAATTGTTTTTAGTGTCTAGTTAATACACTGTTCAATACGATACCTATAACTTACAATTATTATAAACAATGCCACACTAGACAACACATGGTTTAGTCCACAATAAAGACAATACAATGAGTGAAAGGCTTTGTACATTTAAAGCTAGTCGTATCTTTATCACATTGTTAAAATTCTCATTTGAATTTTTTTAACATTATAAAGCATTATCTGTTAGGATATCGATAAGATTTCATCACTGCATCACATCCATCAACTTGCATGAAAATAAATACTTGCTCAACAACAGCTCCACAAGCTTGTCAACATTTTAAAATTTTGTTCTGCTTTTGCACTGTAGTACACTAACATAAATTGTATTGTATGTTGCTTGCCAATAAATTTCATGAATTCACAAATTTACGCATTCAATACAGCAATACAGCATTGCGTTAAATTATTAAAAAAAAGAGATTATACGAGCCTTACGCATGTGAGGACAGGTCCTTTCTTTCAGTAGATTTTTGGCAACCAGGAATTGAACAAAAAGTTGGCATGGTTGCAAATGTCTCGTTTCAATATAGAAATTTCCGACCGAAATTTTGAATTTACTTCCTTCTGTTTTAAGCAAATTGAAAGGGCACCCGTTCCGCACGTTGTAACCAATAGTTTATTGGCGTTGTAATGCCATTGTATGCAATAAAGTATTGGGTTGTAACTGAAAACAAAACCACAACCACTGCACAAAAGTTTTAGTTATAAGTGTAACTGGCTTTGCTTGGTGGACGGAGGGGTAGCAGGCCGGGGTTAGGGTTTGCGGTTAGGTTGCGGGGTTAGCAGGTGGGGTTAGGGGTTAGGGGTTAGGAGGTGGGGTTAGGGTTAGGAGGTGGGGTTAGGGTTAGGGGTTAGGATTAGGGTTAGGGTTAGGGTTTGAGTTAGGATTAGCGTTTGGATTAATTGTAAATCCATTGTAACCAATACTTTATTGCATACAATGGCATTACAACGCCAATAAATTATTGGTTACAACGTGCGGAACGGCTGATCATTTATTTGAAGGAATTTGTTTTGGCCGTCGTCGCCGCGTTGCCGTCCTATATGCTTAAGGCCGCTATTAGTTAAATCCCAACGTCTCAACGTATCTACGCCAAGGTGACGTACTTTCCGAAGAGTGTATTCTGACGGAAATTCATTCTTCTACATTTCGTCACAATTCATTCTTCTGTATATTGTTTAGTGAAGGTTACACTCTAAATCTCCGAGTGTTGTACTAACACCAAAAATGGTGTAAATTCCTGCCTCTGTATTTACACCAAAGTGTAAATTTACACATTCGCAAGTGTTAATTTATACCAGTGACTGCATTTTTACATCAAGTTGGTGTAAATTATCTTGCCTCAGTATTTACACCAAAAAGGTGTAAATTTACACTTCGGTGTAAATATACACCAATGAGTGTATTTTTACACCAAGTCGGTGTAAATTATCTTGCCTCTGTATTTACACCAAAAAGGTGTAAATTTACACTTGTGGTGTAAATATACACCAGTGAGTGTATTTTTACACCAAGTTGGTGTACTTTCTCTTGCCTCTGTATTTACACCAAGGTCTTGTAAGTGCTGAACTTTAGTAAATGCTACATACTAACAGATGTTAATACTAACTCCGTACCCAGTCGCTATTTACAACATGAGGGGTTGTGTTGTATCAATACAACACGGCCGCTCATGTTGTAAATGGCTTGTGAAAAGCCTTAATGAGAACATTCATATTCTTCAACAATTTAAAAAAATTTTTGAATGATATTTATTGAGAAAATTGAACTTAAAGTTTATGTAAATCAGCATGATTTTGTATCAGATATACAGACTCCTGCACGGTCATGATTGCTTTTGTCTTTTCCTCACGAGTGTCACAAGTACTATTACAAGTACGTACAGTACATAGCTCAGTGAGACTCCTACAAGGTATATGATCTCACTCGCTCAAGCGTGTAATGAATTTAAAAGTGGATGTGGGGAGAGAAGGCACGGGCACCTATCAGTGGCGTACCCAGGATTCTTTTCTTTTTTTTGGGGGGGGGGATACTACAATGTAAGGAACATGCATAGTATGGGGGTGAGGGGCATGCTCCTCCACGAAAAATTTGAATTTTTTAAATTCTCTACAACACTATTTCCAGCATTTTTTAACATTGGAAAAGGGCTCTTTCAAACCATTTTTCCATTTTGAATAATGTTGGAACCTCGTGTATGTGCAACCTCGCCCCGTGTATATGAGGGAAAGGAATACGATTTTTATCGACCATTTGAAAATTGAAATGAAAACAAATATACCAGCCATATTCCAGTAAAGTTGTCTTCACTCTTGTTTCTTCATCTGCAATTTCAAATGATTCTGGTTTCTTGTAAATTCTCTTTGGTTTGTACGTATTCTAAGAAAATAAAGCTTGAAGATTATAAAAGTAGTTACTTATAAAAAACTACTTTAGTAAATTAAAAAACTGTCTAACTTTCATAGCTCGTACACCCCACTACACTGACCTACGCTCAAGTACGAAAAAAATACGTGGCATTATTCATGAGATACCTCACTTATTAGAGAATGGTCGTTTGTTTATAGATAATTTGTTTGACGATTCTTTACTATTGTAATTGGCTACAACTGACCTTCACGCCCAAAATTGAAGTCTTACATCTGTCTTTTCGGCTGTCAAATTCTGTATCCTGAAAAGATAATAGCGGAAAATGAATTACATTAGAAGCCGGAGATTGTATAAACTTAATTGCGAAGTGATGGTTCTCATCTCCGGTCAAATATTATTAAATTATGTAAGAATTATCGTCAACTGCGGCGATACATAATTATAAGAAAAATTCGCTACCCAACTTTGGTTACAACCTCAGTGTTTATTTCGCAACTTAATTTCCATATAATTTCTGTTGTCCCAGTTCACAAAATTAAAGCATATGAATGGTGACTCTGAATATTCGCGCAACATTCGCGTCTCGCCTCTTCCTGTCGATCTCTTCCAGTCCACTTCACATTTTATTAGTTCCTGTCTTCAAAGGATTGAATTTCAATTTATTTTATTGGATTCACAATTTCCAGACTTCAAGAAAAGTCTAAAGACTAATCTTTTATAAATCATTAACAGTATATCAAGTATGTACAGTTTTAATTAGCGATTAAAAGTAATTTAGGTGAGAACAGCAACATTGAAACTTCGTCAGTATTTCCGTATTTCACTTATTCGTGGGTGAAAAACGTTAGGTCATTCGTTTTTTATGTTTATGTTTATGTCAAAACATTTCATAAACGCAGGCCTCGGAATCAGCTAAAAATCGAGACCTAAAACGAAAGCTGGTGGGCAACAGGACGGAAAATTTAAGCTTTTGAATAAAATGCCCATGTACTGCAGTAATTAAAAACTCTTGAACTCTATTGAAATAACTCTAGATTATAGTTATATGATATATTTTTTATAAGATTGAAAGATGCAGTAGAAAGATCATTGCTTTGTTCTAGTTGTCATTCTTTTTTCTCCCAAAATTCTTCCAAAATTAATATCAAATATGCAATGCATCAATCAACCGTCTTATAGAATACTTCACAAATAACAGTTTTACAAAGAATAAATATAACACGATGGATTCTCTTTGGGAAATTAAATAAAAATACTGACGTTTATGTTAATTCAGCAAACAAGATTTAGCCTCGTTTTGGTGCCTTTTGCACATTTCAAAAGGCTATAATTTCGCTTGCATGGATTGTTTCCAATCTTAAACTCTTGCACTTTGCAGTCTCGCTTGAAAAATAATTTATTAACCAGGTAATGCAGAAAATATAAAATAATGAAAAAATTATGTAGCTGGTTTTCGAATCGGTCAATTACGAGGTCTGTGAACAAACCTGTGGTGATGAATAATTCTTGTTAAATTGCGAGACGGAAAATTCCCTGATGTAGTCACCCATTTCTTCGCGAGTTTCAATAGCTTTCTTCACAAGCCACTGCCAATGATAAAAAATTTATACTTGCATCTACAGTACATGGCTGACCCAATGAGCTCCATATATATATGGAGCGAGAACTCGAGTCCAAAAAGTGAAGCCAGCTTCGTGTTAACCGCGCAGACAAAAACAATAGAAAGGGACTGGAACTGACGTCCAATAGCTCCTTCAATTTCTGCCATCTTGGCAAGGAGTGTGCCGAAATTTGTATTTTGACATCGATTTAAAGAATAACACTATGGTTTTATGAACTGATAACTTGGTAAGCGATACAGTTTGTTAGAAAAAATATGGCAAAATGTCCGAGTAAATATGGCAAATGTCCGAGCAAAAGTAATTTGGATCGGACATTGGTCCGATCAAAAAAATATATTGTCACATTACACTTTTTTTTGCTGTGACAAAATCCGATTGCAAATTCACTCAATATGCATTTTGCAATAACATTTACGAGGCATTCTAGCATTTTACTTAACGTTACGCCCGAATGGCTATACATACTTGTCTCGTAACTTATATTATATCTTGTGACGTATATATGTCCGACCAAATTCAAGTTATGTCCGACCAAAATTAAAAGTGATCGGACAAATGTCCTGTCAAGTCAAATATTTATTTGCAGCCCTGATATGGAGCTCACTGGGCTGACCAAAATAATGTACGAGTTTTTAGATAAAAGACGCTTCTCGAACTTGTTTGAGTGCAGACGGAACAATAGCTTAAAATGGAGGCGGATAATTATAATTCATTGTAAATATTAAAGAGTGTCATTGCCAGCCAGTAAATTCGGAAGTGTCTATTGGTAGTTAATATCTAACAAATATAAAACATTTTCCGTGTTGGTATACAGTTATATCAACACGAGTGGAAATTGGGAAAACGAGAAATTGTGTGGAAACACGACGGCCCAGAGGGCGGAGTGTTTTCACACAATTTCAAGTTTTCCCAATGTCCACGAGTGTTGATACTGTATATAACTGTATATCAATACGGAAAAATGTTTAATTTTATATTTTTTGCATAATATAGCACAAAGAAATTTTAAGAAAGAAATTTTCCGTGTTGATATTGAGATATGTCAACATGGCTCTTAGCCAATCAGCGTTCAGAATTTACAAATGCTATATTATAATCATATTTGGTAAATGATTCATTCCCTTGAACATATTAATAATCTTTCAGAGAAAAATAATTGGCAATCATTGTAACATACAAATACACCGCACAATAAATTACCTGGACAACTGGGAAAATATGAATAAAATCCAATCCTTGGATTTGATGTGGCTCTAATCGATGTGGACACTTCATTTTGGGCAAAACAGCGACAATTTTTTCTGTCAAAGATCTACAGGTAAACGTGACTCGTTAATGTGCGATTAGGGAGCTTAAGCTCTTAAGAATAACAAAAACGTCGCTTAAGATTAACACTGACAGTTTCTTGGCGCCAGCCATTGAATAAAACCACATATGCTATAATTAGCCGAATTCATATTAGAGACGGGAAACTCGTCTTAGACAGGAAACTCGTCTTAGACGGGAAACTCGTCTTAGACGGGAAACCCGTCTAATATGAATCCGGGGGCAGACGAGTTTCCCGTCCGAACTTTCCCGTCTAACTATACCCGTCCAAACAGACGGGAAAGTTAGACGGGAATCCCATCTAGACGGGAAACCCGTCTTAAATTCGAATTTATCCGTCCCTAAATTCATATTCAGACGGGTTTTGACAGACGAGTTTCCCGTCCCTAAGATGAATTCGGCTATTGATACACGTATTTAATAAAGCAGACGTTAAATACTCTTCGAGGACATTTAGATGAAACTACAATTTTGTGTATTGTGCATTTTGCTTCGCATGAATTATGTTATTTGAATTTAATTCCATCGGTCTCAGTATATGAAAATTATAGTTAAATGAGCTACGTTTACCATGCGAACAGGATTTTCCATATCACGTGATCATAATCAGACCAGAATTTAATAAGGTGTTATACAAATTGTATTATATATGCACCTAGCAATCTAGCATGCAGTATAGTGGTTGTTAAAAGTTCGATGAAATTAAATCGACAAAGATTTTGGCGCCAGCCATATGGATAAAACCACATATGCCGTAATTGATATGTATTTATAATAATAAAACAGTTAAATATTCTTCCAGGACATTTATATATGAAACTACAATATTGTGTATTGAAAATTCTCACATTTTTTGACCAATTGTTGAGTTTTCTTGAAACAGTAAGTCGACATCCAGGTCGATATCACAAGATGTAATGCACCATGTCATTCCACCAACGACCTTCAAAAGCAAAATGATCAGAAATGAAAAATACATTAATGTGTACCTATATGCAAACCTTATCACCCTACCACGTACCAACAAAGGTTAAGCAAATCATACCACACCCTGGGGCCAGGTGTTCGAAAGCTGGTTAGCTTAATCCTGGGTTGGTGAAAAACTTCAAACTAGGAATCTATCAGACAGCTTGTTATAATAAACTTGACAATTTTTTTCCAGAAATCATTTCTGGATCAAAGAGAAATTTTATTTTCAAAAGTTTCGAAACAAACTACTGTAACATGCAAAAACCAAAACAGCAGGTTAAATTTTAAGCCAAGGTTAGCGCTAATGCTAGTTATACAAATAATAAATGTTTATTAGAGTAGTGGTAAAAATATTTTCATTTTTACCATTTTTAGCCAATGAAAGTAGTTTTACCAAAGTATTCAGACCTCTCAACTCTCACGCATTCGGCGTGAGTCTCACGCAATTCGCTTCACTTTCACGCTCTCACGCCATGTTTCAAATCTCACGCATATAGCAATTTCATAGTATTTTTTCAATAATATAATATTGTATCCTTAAATGCACATTATTATAATCATTATACGGATCGCGAATCGAATATATGATCGCGTATATGTTATTGTTCCTGCATATACGGCCCGACATTTTGCCCGCAATGGACCTTTCCCCTTATAACTAAAATTTCGACCTAGACAAAAATTTCATCACAGCTTGAAAGAGCATCACAAAATTAGTAATATTCCAAAGTTTTGTTGCGAAATCTTGTAAAATGCGGATAATATAGCCTTGCGAAGTTTGCCGTTTTTCAGTCATTTTGTATTACAAACGGGAAATTGACATCCGATTCGGGTGTTGGGGCTGCAATTTCCCGTTTGTAATGCAAAATGACTGAAAATTGCAAACTTCGCAAGGCTCTATTTTCCTCATTTTACAACATTTCGCAACGAAATTTTGGAATATTACTAATTTTGTGATGCTCTTTATGAGCATCACAAAACTGTTATGAAATATTTGTCTAAACTGTTATGAAATTTTTATTATGAAAAACTGTTATTTGTCTAAACTGTTATGAAATTTCCAACTGTTATGAAATATTTGTCTAAACTTGCCTAGATCAAAATTTTGGTTATAAGGGGAAAGGTCTATTTGGATACAAAATAGTACGCATATGTAAATACAGCCGAAAAAAGGCAGAATCAGTCGGAGCAGAATTCAATATGTAAATTATCAAAGGCAAATTAAAGCTCATTACTGTATCAGTCGCATCTTATAATGCACGAAATGCGATTTCAGACCCCCGGACTTTTACAAAGGTGTTATCCACATCCCCAATCTCACTCTTAACTTCTCTGCAACGTTGAGAGGTCTGAAGTATTTGTTTTATATGATACCAAAATACTGAAAATAGATCAAATTTTTAAGTGAATTAAATATACCTTTTTCAAAAATAATTAAAATCCAGTGTGCCAACAAATGTTTTAGTGAAGAATTAATATGATAATGGCGGTAATTTATCGTAAAAATTATCATAAAAATATTGCATTTTTACACACCCGCCATTTTGCTTCGCACGAATTATGCTATTTGAATTTAATTCCATTGGTCTCAGTATATGAAAATTATAGTTAAATAAGCTACGATTACAATGCGAATATGATTTTCTATATCACGTGATCATAATCAGCCAATTGAATGACCAGAATTTCATCAGGTGTTACATAAATTGTATAATTATACACCTAGCAATCTAGCATACAATAGCGTGGTTAAAAGTTCGATGAAAATCGACAAAAATTAGCCTCCCAGCAGGCCTCTCTATCGGTTTAAGCCTGCGAATGGGCCGATTCCTCAGGTGAGATGCCTGCGGAGGAGGATAGACAAAAATGTTCATTTCAGTCAGGACGTGGTCTCTCTCGCAGTCAGCAACATTCAACCACTGAGGTTTGCAAAGGAGTCAGGATAAAGCATTGATATAGAAAATTCTATCCCAGATGACTGCATGAGATTCCACCTAGCTACCCTGCAAGCAGGCGTTTATTCGGACATTATTTATACACCTGCTCGCAGGCTGCCACCTAGCGCGACGTGTGATCCAGCTTAGTGGGTCTCTCTGAAGGCCCACACAGATCGGACGCGATTCGGCAACGCGACGCGAATTTTCAGTTTTCAAAAACAAATAAAACCATCAACGGATAAATATTTTACAAGATATGCAGACCAAATAGCTAAAATTGCTTAAGACTTAAGTGGTTCAGAATATTTGAAAAACATTGAAATATATTAAAGTTAAATGTAATTGAAAACTGAAAATTCGTGTCGCGTTGCCAAATCGCGTCCGGTCTATGTGGGCCTTTAAGCCCATTTTCCACCAGGCGAATTTGTTGGCGCGAACAGTAAAAAGTAGGAACTGAACCAACTCTTTCGTGTCGATTAATTATTTCGCTGACCAATCACATCGCAAAGATTTTTTCGCTTCGCGCGAACAAATTCGCCTAGTGGAAAATGGGCTTTAGACGCTCGTGTACGATTCGTATTCTGGTGTATCGAATACGCCAGCAGTGGCGTAGTCAGCCCGACAATTTGGTCATGCTATGCAAATATTTCTCTGTTCACCGACCGTAAAAACAATCGATTTCTAAAGAAATGAATGATGATTTGATATTTGCATAGCATGACTAAATTGTCGGGCTGGCTACGCCACGGTACGCAAGCGTAAAGTGGTTGTATTTAAATGTCGCCATAAACTAAATGAAGAGGAATTGTGGCGTTGGCAGTAATTTTCTTATTTTTATACGCCAGAATGCGTGTAAAGATGTCACATTTCAAATCTCGCCATAAACTGATGAACAGGGGCCGGTTGTATAAAAAAGTGATTAAAGTTAACTATAATTAAGTGCAAACGCCAGTTATCCAATAAGAAGCGCGTATTTGAGAGTTAATCACTATTTAAAATAGTGACTAAAAAAGTGATTAAGAGTTTTATACAACCGGCCCCAGGAATAGTGGAGTCAGCAGTCGTTGTCATATAGGCCAGAATGACAATAGTATACCACTAGATCGTAACAGCCTTTATTAGAACATCAAGACACTTATATTTAAATAACAGTACATCATAAAAATAAACCTAATTTAACAAACCTTATCAAAAGGAGAAAGGCCTTTGATTCGAGCTCGAAAATATCCGGCAGCTAACAACAAATCAACCGTTTCCAGGAGTTTAACATTCTGTTCCTCGTCCTCTCGAGATTCAACCTATACGTTGAAGTTAAAATTACTAATACTTTCATGAATATGGTTTCTTACTCTTTGCGCGCTACTCAAGAACGATTGGGCACACCATGGTAGGTGGTGGGGTGGGGACGATGCTCTTTTTTCATGACTAGTTAACTAGTAGTAAGAAAGCTTCGGATTGTTGGGGATACAACTACTGTACAGTACCTGAAAATACAAGGAGAAATTCAACGTTTCAAGCGAAGCATGCATCTTCGCCGGAACACAATTTATTGTTTAACCAGTAACCCAGGTTGGAAATATCTATTCTCCCTTACAACATCTTAGCAGGTCTGAAAATCACTTAGAAAGCTGTTCCCCTGCTGTTCACTGCTGGACTGCATGGAGGAAACGGGAAAAGTTATTTCGCTGACCTCAGAATGATATTTCGTCAAAAAAGTTTTTTTCAAGATTGGTTTTATTAAAAACAAACTTAGAGTAGGGTTAAGTTAGGGTTAGGATTACGGTTAGAGTTGCTGTTTGGAATAGGGTTAGTGTTGGTAAAACCGTTGCTTTGTTACGTTTTGCCACCCTGAGGCAGCAAAATAACGTCTTCCTGGCGAAACATGCACATAAGAAACATTTGGTATAAAAATGAAGCATGATCATCCGTGGCATTTACATGTCTTATTATGTGTTCTAGTCATGCCACCATTTATAAGCAGTAGGTGAAAAATGGTGAGACCACCAGTATTGAGGTTAGGCTGGGGTAGTTTATCAGTAAACTGGTAAATATCTCAGGTTTTTTTCAAAACCGTTTATTGGTTTTCCCAAAATTGGAAATTAAACTAAAAAATCAACCGAAGAATCACGAATTGTCATTCATTCACACAACATGCACAACCAATAGGGTTCCTGCATGACAATTGAAGCGCAAAAAAGTAACATCAACCTGATCTATGGCCTTGGTAATATCTTTTGAAGCCTGTTTTTTGGGACTTTTACAAAAAAAAAGATAATGACATTTATAATGAAAACGGTGTTTCAAATGGCAAGGTGATATCAGTTTAAGTGATGTCTTTTCTGTGAGCTTATTCATAATATTTACACAGATTTACTAATACTAACCTTACCTCAATAATCCTAACCCTAATTCACTAATCCTGGTAACCCCATCCAAATGCACCAGTACCTGGAGGATTCACTTTTTACGACTATAAAACTTACATGTAGTGAACTCCGAGGGGTGGAAATTTTAAATTTTAGTCGCCCAAGTGGTTGCCAAATTCAATATCAGGTCACTCTATATCAATGAAGACTTATTGATAATTCGGATAATTCAATAAATTATCTAGATGCATTCAGCTCTCTGCCAGTCAAAAGTACAAGTTTAAAAAAGTACAAGTTCAAATATGAACAGGCAGGCAATAAAATGAAGTGTCTTATGGTTTTGAGGAAGAATAAACAGTAAGTATTGTCAGATTAGTTGTGATTTAATTTATTTCTGCTTTCACTATATCTGAGGGTGAATAAAAATATAGCAGCAACAACAAGTATATGACATGATATATTTTAAATTAAGGCTTTATAATTACTTTATCATTTTAAATCTTTCCTCAGTCGCCACAAGGGCTACCTTTGGCAAATATCTAGACTGTGAGCATGCAGTTCATCCTTAAAAGGAAAAGATCGAGGGACTCACTGCAAACAACACATGAAGAAACGAAATATGTGTTGTCCACACAACGCAAAATTCCAATTGGTTGATATGGCTGACTGACAGATCTTTTTGTGAAAAAGTTAATTATTACCAAACTAAAATGTATTGTTTTTCAATTTTGAAAGTCAACCATCAAATTACATGTATGTCATATTAATTAAACCTCATAGCATTTTAGCTCATTTTTATTTATACTGTTGGAAAGCGTTTAATATCATAATCATGTTATTTCGAGTGAATACAACTTAATGTAATACGTACGTTGCTTGTAAAACGTAAACGTCATCATTTCACAGCATGTAAACTTGAATTTTTACTTTAATTTATAACAATACGATATGCGCTATAAATAGTTACTTAACACCAACACACACAAAATAATCATATCATAGAATACACTGATATCGAAGGAACTAGACTCAGTTCCGAAATATCATCAACTCGAACCGACTTGACCACATAGCTCAGTTGGCAGAGCATTGGACTAGTATCCCAAAGGTCGCGGGTTCGATTCCCACCGTGGTCAAGCAAACTTTTCAGCTTGCCCGGTGTGGATGCACACTCAGAGTAACATCACAAACATCATATTCACCTGAGTACATAACACCAACACACACAAAATAATCATATCATAGAATACACTGATATCGAAGGAACTAGACTCAGTTCCGATATATCATCAACTCGAACCGACTTGACCACATAGCTCAGTTGGCAGAGCATTGGATTTGTATCCCAAAGGTCGCAGGTTCGATTCCCACCATGGCCAAGCTAACTTTTCAGCTTGCCTGGTATGGATGCACACTCAGAGTGAGAGTAACATCTGACAAACAAAATAGTTACTTAATAATTATATTGGAGTTACGGGGCGGTGCGAAAAGCAGGTGTATTTCATTTCTTGATGTGTTGTCTCCAGTTCCTCCTCCCCTTCTAAGGAGGCACTGCTCACAATCTAGAAAATATCTGGTTGCCAGATGAACAATTTTGGTCGCAATTGGTGACCTGGCACCAGGGCTCGAAAAAAAGGCCAATCAACGATCATTGATCGGCAGGAAATTGTTTTTGATCGAGCGAAAAAGCAACGTTGCCGTTCATCTTGATCGGCAAGAAAATTACAGTATTTGAGTAATTTGACCATTGTCTGAAAGACATGCTTACCTGTACGCGGTAAAAGACAAATAAAAATAACATGAAACACATTAAAAAAACGCGAAAAACTCTTGTTTAATTGATACGAGTCATACGACAGGCCGCAATGCTATGAAGTATTGTCGTCTCCGCTTCAACAGTCTGCAATCCGAACCACGACGACGAACGTCTTTGTCATAATAATTTCAAATTGATAGGATTTTTTGAGTAGGATTTTTTAGGATTTTCTCTACTATAATTAAAACTAATTAAAGTAAAGTTTACTACTGTAATACATGTTAAATGTAGTTACACTATTAGTATTGTCAGTATTGTATATATAAGTCCACAGATGTCATAGATTTAATTGTTTAAACTCGAATTTGAAATGAAGTTATTAAACGTCCTCTTTTATAGATGTGTATTTAATGGCATATTTAGAATTTTTTCAAAGAAATGAGGGCAAATGCTCCTGATCGGCCAAATTTTTATTTGATCGGCAAAAAGTCGTGATTGCCGATCACCATGATCGGGAACGTTGGGAACGTTATTTCGAGCCCTGTGGCACCCAGTTATTTCAAGCCATGAGGAATGTCAAAACGGTGAAAAAGGGGGTGAAACCGTAACCCAGACTTCATTCTTTGCAAAACGCACGCGGAAGAAAATGGCGGACAAAAAAATGCGCGCTTCGTGCTACATGAAGGCAAAATATGAGCCTGCAAGTATATGTCATTTCCGGTCAGCGGTTGTACACCAGATTTCCCGTTTACCATTATTTTGGTGAACCAGACAACTTTAATTTACAGACATGAGAATACTTTACAAGTTTACATATCAATCATGACATGTTAACTTATGTAGTTATTCCTTTCACAAACTGAAACAAGAAGTTAAAATGTCAATTATTCAGTTCATCTATCTTAGAAAAAAATGAATAAATCGTCCAGATGGTTTATCGTTCATGTTGCCGGTTGCTGAACTAGATTACTTGACAACCTATAGACTAAAGTTTAGTCTATAGGTTGGCACTAAACTACTGCAAGTATAAGTATGCACTGAACAGAATACCCTTGTTCCTTAACATACATAGTTCATGCAACTTTATCTGTTTATCTTACTGCATTAAACTACAATAGAAAGGGTAGGCGTGCTTGGCTTGTGGCAATCCTGCTGAGCACTTTTGGCATGGCATTGGCATACTTCATTGTTCGTCGATTTTGGTAGACTGGTATTAGATGTTTGTGTAATGTTACTCTGAGAGTATATCCACACCGGGCAGGCTTGAAAAATACGCCTCGCCACTGAGTACATTACACCAACACAGCAGATTACATGTATTAGATATTTCTTCAAACCTTTCTTCTCATCTCCCCCAATATATAATTTGGCAATTTCCTTGATTGGTCGTTCACACTGCAACACAGCTGGTAAACACCAATCAACGATAGATCGGAGGGCCAAAAAAAGGGCGTGTCCGAAATTTGCACGCGCCACGCGCCAAAAGGGTGTGTCTGTCTGTCTATCAAAAATGTGTGCGCCAAAAGGGTGTGTCTGTCAAAAATGTGGGCGGAAGATCTTCCGCGCGCTGTGCAGAAAATGAAGTCTGGACCGTAACCACATCCCAGCAATCACACCTTTCTAGCTAGTGCAGGGTATATTCTATAGTTCAGCTTTGTGGCTTTAATTTTAAAATGTTGTGATGTTACTGATGACACAGACATATAAATGTTATCAATAATAAAACACCCTTTCGGAAAGTACGCCACATTGGCCATACCACCATAGAGTCTCGTTTTAATAATAATACCCACATCACTTACGTGTTTTTCAGTGTGGTCCTGCATCAAAATTACAATTATTTACAATATTAATTGTCAATATTTAAATTGTACAAAATTATACATACATACATATATACATACATACATACATATATACATACATACATACATATATATATATATATATATATATATATATATATATATATATATA